GGCGTTTGTCGATAAACATGAACTTCTCATGACTTGACGATAGTTATCTTGATTTGACATGATAATTATGTTATGTTAACAAAACGTTATGTGGATGGCATAGATATGCCACCATATATAACATATGTATGCTTCCATATATGCTTCAAACAGGTACATGTATATTGTAAATGTGAAGTTGAAGAAGTATCCATGGAAGGAACAATGCACTTGCTGTTGCTTTTCTCGTCAATTTTTTTTTGCTGGAGCAAATATAGTTAGTGAAGAAAAACATCATGTTTCCTACTGCCAAACCAAGAACTGCTTTTGTCGGAACAAGTCAACAGCGGATTCCTCCTATAAGAATCTTTCTACCCTTCCAAGAGGACTCCCCAGGACTATAACTTCCCTCATCCTTACCGGAAATGATTTTCCTGATTTGAAGGACGAAGATTTCAATCCAGTAGCTCATCTGAAATTAAAAAGTCTCATAATGAAACATTGTAACATTGAAAGCATCTCTAAATCCGCTTTTCAAACTCTCAGTAGCCTTGTGAAGTTTGACTTATCTTATAATAGGATAACAGGAAAGGTGCTATATTTAGCCACAAGATCTCTTGGTAAATCGAGAATCAAGATTCTAGATGTGTCTGGGAATTATTTTAATGGGTCGAATAATCAATTTTCTGGATTTAGAAATGAATGGTTCTTACAACTGCGAGAATTATGTTTAGTAGGTATAAATGTGAATATTTTCAATTTTACAACACTTTCCACACTTAAGAAGTTAAGTAAATTGGATCTAGGAAGCAACAGAATTACTCACTTACATGTCTCTAAGGAAACGGTATTTTTAAAGCTTCAGTATTTAGATCTGGCAAGAAACAGTCTTAGAGATACAAGTTTCTTCCAGAAAAGAGGAAATTGTCTGCCGAAACTTATACATCTAGACTTGTCTCGTAACCCATTTTTTACAATATGCTCTCGTTCATTTGTAAAACTAATAAGCTTGAAAGCTCTGATTTTGAATCATCTCCAGGTCAAAGCATCAATAGAAACAAGGGCTCTGGAATCGCGAAGTCTTGTTAATCTTTCTATTGACAGTTTTCAAGGTGATAATCATATATTGTTTAAACATTGCCCTCTACTGCAGGAACTTCAAATGAGAAGAATGACATTATTTTTGACCAATTTAACAAAGATGCTGTCGCCTTTAAGACATTTGAGATCCCTATTAATCCGAGGATGCGGCATTAAGTATATGTCGTCTTTACAAGGATTGCCAGAACTCCAAAAGCTAGATTTTACCTACAATCATATACAGAACCTTCAAAAAAAGGACATTGAAAACCTATGGAAATTGGAAGAAATATCGTTTGGTTGGAACTCTATTTTTACAGTTTCTCAATCTTCTTTTCCAGAATTTATCTGGAAAAAGAAGAAGCTTCGATTAGATTTATCATCAAACCCCTTTAATTGTGACTGTGAACTTGAATGGTTTTCCAACTGGCTGAGAATTAACAACCATAAGGTGGTTGCTTATCCATTCCGATATACATGCAAAACACCAGTAAAGCTGCAAAATCAGTATCTTTTAAGGGTTGATTTTCGCATGTGTCATCAGTTGAATCAATATATGATTTTATCATTTACCTTTTGTGGAATAATATCCAATATTTCTTTTACGATTGTCCTTGCCTGGAAACTTAGATGGGACATAAAATACTATATTCACATATGTAAACGTAGAAATCTCAAAAGGTATACGAGACTGTTATCTGATGGGTATCAGTATGACGGATTTGTTGCATACAATACACGAGACAGGAAATGGATCATGTCGGAACTTGTCGAAAATTTAGAAAATAGAAGAAAATACAAACTTTGCCTTCACGAAAGAGACATCATTCCTGGGGGAATCTTTGTCGATGAAATTCTTGATAGCATTGAAGTTAGTAGAAAATTTATCCTTGTATTATCTCCCAATTTTATGAGTGATCAGTGGTGCCACTATGAAGCAACCCTTGCAAACCATGCTCTGGCTGACGGTAGAATTGGAGAAATTATTCTTATTGTTTTAGGAAAAATCAGATCTGAGCATATGACAAATTCCATGAAAATTTTGCTGAAATCTATCCGCAATATAGAGTGGACAGAAAATAAAAATGGACAAAAATTATTTTGGTCCAGTATAGAACAACTCATGAACTGATAAATTAACTACATTGTATCTATGAGAAGTTCAAGGGTTAATTTTCTTTACAGTATTGTGAAAAGACTTACATGTACATGTATTCTTTCTTACTTTTATTACATAAAAACTAAATGTTCATGTTAGAAGTATCAGAAAGAGGAAAATACAATATTTGCCTTGAAAATTGTTCGGCTAGGGTTAATCTTGGGTGAAAAAATGTGTGTTTCTGCAATTAGGCTATCTGCTTTTCATCAATAGAATCAAAATGTAAATTGGACGATGATGTAAATCTTATTTTATTTTACACCCTTCACTGTAAGTTATAATTTGAGTAATTTATAATTTTTGACTGAAAGAGGATAAACCTTGATAGAAATTTTATGGAGTATTGTCATTCTAAGATGTGGACTGAAAATTAGAGAAATATTTCTCATTGTTATCAGACTGATTTTTCTCTTTGACGCTCAAGAGTAAAATTTATAATTTCAACATTTTTGAATTCGAAAGACTGACAAAATAATCAACTGAGTTTCTGTACGGTCTTGTCCACTTAGAAGCGAAAATTATACATGAAGATGATAATGAATAGTCTCTAAAATCATGAATTATTATTGGTTAATAGGATGGAGATAAGTATGTAACTTATATAACAGGTGTTTTCTCACGGAGAAAGTGTTTTCACGTGATAATGTACGAGTCATCATGTAAAATTTTCCTCAAACTATATTAAAGTATTCATCACGGTGTTTCAGTATAAAACAACGTAACGTGGTGTAATTTCCATTGTTTTCTGGTTTAACACTAAAAAACAATGACAGATGATATAAAATTTGATCAAAACATTTGAAAATACACGTGTATTATGCTGACAACTTAATTCATGTTTATATTATGATTTAAGAAAATGAAAATAAATGCGCAGTTTTTAAATTTTTAATTCAAAATTTCAGAATGATGAGATCTGAAGTGACAAAAAGTTGTACAGATTAATAACTAATGGTTTGTTGTCGAAGGGCAGAATTTTAAACACCAGAGAAGGTTTATATTATCTAAATATTTTAGAAATTATAATTTGCATAGTTAAAACAGTCAAGTATAAGCTGAATAATTTTTATCAATCCATTTTTTGTGTGTGTATCATCTGCCCTTAAACTTGTCCACGGATATGTTTTGTCTACGAAATGTTATATAAGTATTCAACACTTCTTCAAACCCAAGTTTAAATTCCCATAAAACAGTGTACTGTATTTTTCTTTCAATATAACGAAAAATTAAGGGGATGAAACATTGTGAACACCACTATAAATTGAAAATTTTCACAACACCACTATAAATTGAAAATTTTCACAGACGTTCTGACAAATCAAACTGCAACTTATATATATTTTAATTTAATATGCTTAATGGTGTCCCAATCGCATTTCTTTTAATATACTCCTCGACTTTCCCTTCTAATAAAGGGGTCATTTTACACATTTCACACTGAATGACAATCGCTGATGCATAGTCCAATATATCCGCTTGTATCATTCAAATATTCAAAATACTTATGCTCAAAAATAAACTGGTATCAAAAAATTGTCCAGGAATTAGTACCTTCTTGAACAAATTAAAATCACAAAAATCATCTTCAATTGAAAGGGGGAACAAGATGTGTTTGTGAAACACTGATGCCCCCGTTCCCAATTATGGCCAGGCAAAAGTTTTAAATAAGTACAGAAATCTTCAAGATCAAGGTAAGAAATTCAATATTATTGGTATCCAATGAAAAGGTATTTCCACAAAGAACACATGTGTGAAGTATGGAAGCCCTAGCCCTAACCATTCAAAAGTTATGGCCAAGGTTAAAAGATTTTAAAAGTAGGTTAAACTCCATGATCAAGGACAGAAGGTCTAGATTACTGGTATTGAATGAAAGGCATTGTCACAAGAATTACATATGTGAAGTATGAAAGCCCTAGCCCTTGCTTGAAAAGTTATTGCCAAGGGTAATATTTTTTCATAAGTTCGGAAATCTGTAGGTCAAGGTCAAAAGATCAAGGTTATTTGTATCCAATAAAAGGACTTGCCACAAAGAATACATTTATGAAATATGGAAGCCCTAGTCCTAACCGTTAAAAAGTTATTGCTAAGATTAATGTTTTTCATAAGTCTAGAAATATCCAAGGTCAAGGTTAGAAGGTCAAGGTTATTGGTATCCAATGAAAGGTCTTTCCACAAAGAATAAATATGTAATGTATGAAAGCCCTAGCCCTCACCGTTCAAAAGTTATGGCCAAAGTTTAAAAAATTTAAAAGTAGGTCAAACTCTAAGGTCAAGGTCAAAAGATTAAAGGTCTTGATTTTAAATGAAAGGTTTGTCACAAGAATTAAATATGTAAAGTATGAAAGCACTAGCTCTAACCCTTTGAAAGATATGGTCGAGGTTTGTTTTTTAAAAGTAGGTCAAACTCCAAGGTCAAGGTCAAAGGGTAAAACCTTTTGGTATGCAATAAAGCGGCTTCTTACAAGGATTACAATTGTAAAGTATGAAAGCTCTTTCCGCACATCAACATGCCCATGAACATGATTAACCCTAGAAAAGGTTTTATCAAAATCGCACGAGTAGTTTCCGAGAACACTCGAGGAGAAAAAAGTACCGGAGAAGAATTTTGAAAAAAAAAGTAAAAACAACATGATCCCAACTTTCGCCAACACAATAACAGTAACCTAATAAGCTACATCATTTTCTGAAATCAGTGGACATCATATCATTTTATCTTTATCATCTATCTCAAACGTGTCTCGTTTTTAAACACATGCACAAGTGTACAAACGAAGATACGTATTAATCTAGTTTGTGGCATTCGCAAAACTTACAATTTATTATAAAATGGAACGAGAAGAACAAAATCAGCGTAAAACGTAGTAAGTTTGATATTTTAATATCCATCAGTTTTATTATTTCATAATGTAACGCATATTTCAGATATAATTTGTACATGTTAGTATTTCTCTTCAAGCGATTTGAATACTAAAGAAATGACATTTTATTTACTGAAACATACAGTATTTTGATCCCATAATTTAGCATTATTGAGGATTTTTAACTATAAAATAAAAATAAAGAGAACAAAATCCGTTTATTTTTCTCTATTCTTAGCCCATCCTACCAAAAGAAATGAAGCTAAGAATATGAAGATACTTTTGCAATGGCGACTTCGAAAAATCTCCGATACAATGGTTCTGGTGAGGTTCGAAGTAGAAGATTCCGGAGTAAATCAAGAAGTAGGAGGGGCGCCCACCAATACAGGGTTCAGAGAAATAAAAGTTTAGAGAGGGGTTTAACTGCTGATGATTCTAGTGATGAAATGTCTTCGGATAATGACAATATATACATGCACAACTCCACAAGGGCGACCTCAACTTTTCGGCGATATGATAGATATGCGTCAATAAGAAATGACAGAGACAGGAGCAAATCAAGAAGTAGAAAAGGTGCCCACCAAAATAGGAAACAGGAAAATAAAAGTCTAGAAAGAAGATTGATAGTTGCGGCAGGATCTAGTGATGAAGCATCTTCGGATAAAGACAATGTGTATAGCTATAACTCACACTCTTTAGGACAGTCTAGTGATGTTTTTGAAAGAAGATCTTTCGAGTTAAATGTATTTAAGTTTCTTGTAAAAAATATAGGTGGGTGTATAAATGTGCCATCTTTTAAAGAAAAGTATGCACATTTACCACAGAATCTTGATGAATGGCTCAATGAACGTAAGGAGAAAATTTCAGTGTATAAAAGAAATAACATTGTACTTTATATCGGGCCTCTTCTCAAAAAAGCTTCCATCTGTGCTGAAAACTTTGGGTTTGGAGAAGAAAGAGAGTGCAGTCGCATCAACTGTAAACACTTTCATATTTGCAAACACTACTTAAATGGATTGTGCAGACAAGGTCCCAGATGCAGAAAAGGGCATGATTTTGAAAATGGTCACAATCGGGATATCAAAGAAAGAAATGGTCTACAAGAATATACAGATGATGAAATGAAAAAGATAATTCTTTGGAGATATCCCCAGGTCTGCAAAGCACGTAATTGCTTGTTGGCAGAAGATTGTCCATATCTTCACATTTGCTATAATTTCATTAAAAACAATTGTGATGATTCAAGTTGCCCACGAGGACATTCTTTCGAAACTTCCCATAACAAATGGGTTCTTTCAGTGTATAGAATGGAGAGATGGCCGACTCAAAAATTGAGCTTGCTAAAATCCTTGGTTAACATGCCAAGCAGGCAAAAAAGTAAAAGAGATATTTGTTGCATGGCTAATTTTCATGCAGATGTTCAAAGTGAGAACTATGGAGAACCATTAGGTGTGCGGTTAGATCAGAATGAACTTCATCGAAAACCAAACTCAGATCACGATATCTTCAAAAGTAAGCATAATTATTAAAAAAAAAACTTCGATGAAAAAGACAGATAAAAATTTTATTTTCTCTATTTACAAGTGTAGTCTTTAAATGTAATTTTTTCTAAAAAGTATGATGGCTAAATTGAATTAATTAAATGAGAACAGAACAGACAAAAAATTACACATACCCATTTTATCTTTGTTTTTTTCTATATCAAGGAGTCTTAATTGAAATTTCCATTTCTTATTAGAAAAATCTTTCTCAACATCAAGTAGTGTATTAGATAAGAATGCCCATAAGACAAACATTTGCCATAATAATTTGACGGGAGGTTGTCAAGGGAGGGACTGCGATAAACACCACACCCGCCTTCCATACCTCTGGCAGATCCGTATCTATAGAGACTGGATCAGCTTTGATGACGTAGAAAACCAGAAACTGGAAAGACGTTATTGCAATCTTGAAGACACGGCAGATGGAGAGGCAAATCTTTAAAACAAATAACAAATAAAATTCTTTTTAAAAATATAATCGTCATAAAATTGACTGTGTCAAATTTTCATGTGTAATAATTAGAAAATTTAGATTCATATATGAAGTTTTATCTGAATAGGTTGACTGTGTCAAATTTTCATGTGTAATAATTAGAAAATTTAGATTCATATATGAAGTTTTATCTGAATAGGTTTATGTTCAAGGGAGAAAGAAAAGACAAGCCTTAATTTTTCTAAAGATTATGGGATCATTGAAAAGCAGACAAAACCTCATTGTGATATTCGGAGATTAACAAGTGTTTCCTTCGTCAAACAAGGGGCAGTATTGGCTTCAGATTCCTTCCACACTCAATGGAGAATGAGCATTTTCAAAATGACTTCAAACAATGGATAGCGTATGAAAAAGTAATATTAATGTTTTTCAGTTATGTTAGCTGAAATCTACAGGCAGATAATTTTCAACAATAAGCTTTGATTTTAAATTATAATGTACATGTATTGTGCTTGAAAAAGATTTAAATTTATGTCTGATATCACAGTAGTGCATCGAATTTATTATTTTCAAAATGTATATTTTCAGGATGAAGTACAGTATACACTAGAGAAGAAATACATGATGAAACAAAAAAGCTATTTATTTACAAGGGAAGGTCATAAAATGAAGTATAGGATTGAATTCTCTAATATGAGACAGATAAACATAGACACTTCCAAAGTCCGAATTATTCTTAGACGTCCTGCGTTTGTATCTTTAGCTGATGTGATATCAAATTCATTGTAAGTCAATGTGAAGTGAAAAACATTTTTGAAATATTGCTGTGACATAAAAACAAGACGTATAATTTACTTTATATCACGATACAAGTTAGTCTCTTTATGAACATCTCACTCATTTGAACATATATTCTGTGTATGTTAATTGTAGCATTGGGATGCGATTAAATACTTATTTACGTTTTTGAGTTTTATTGAGCTTTCTTTTCAATCAAAATTTTATAAGTATGTTTTTTTTTATTTCAAGCCCAAGGTCAATTCATATCTCCATTCCTGTATCGTGTCCCGGTGACTGGGATCCGTTAGATGTTTCAAATGACTTCGAATGGGTTGATTTGGATGAAACAGGTAACGAGTTCAAAGATGTCCAGGCTTCCTTCTTCAAGACTCTAAGCAAGGACCAGTTTCAGATTTCCAACATTTATCGCATACAGAATCTTGCATTGTGGAATGAATTCAACATGTAAGATAAACTATCCTATCTTTTATCTAAAATGACTGCATAATAAATGTACATGTATTAATTTTAAAGAATAGATTAATTATCCTCGCTAGATATGTTGGAGAGGATGCAACCTCTTTGCATTCCTTTCTCAATGAATAAAACAGGTTTTCATTTATTGAAGCTCATGTTCTATGATAAAGCTCTATGATATTTTTATAAAGCTCTAAAATAAACGTGATGACTTTAACTTAATCGTCCACTTCCCTTACTCATGCAGCAATATACTTTCGTCACTTGTATACGGAATTTATATACTAGTATCTCAGTTGATTCGATACGCAAGAGCATGCTCTACGTATTAAACAATATCTAAAACGAGGTAAATTATTGATATACAAATTGATGAAACAAGAATATCAGCAGTCTCGTTTAAAGTTATCATTTCGTAAGTTCTATGGTCGATACAATGACCTTGTCAGCAAATTCAATTTATCAATGAGTCAAATGCTGACTGACGTTTTTCATACTGATTGTTATTCCATTATTTATACTCTGAATTGACGACGGATTTTTCCGTTATTTCCCAATCATGACAAGGATCACGCGTGAGTGTGACTGGTCGGCAGGGGATGTTCACTCCTCCATAGACACCTGATCCCACCTCTGACGTTTTGGAGGTCCATGTTTCCTCTGCTCCTATTTTGTGTTGCTTTATGGACTTTTGATCTTGAATATTGTTCGTTATCTCCATATGGTTCATTTTATCAATTTTGTGAATTTGTATATATGCTTTAATGTGTTGATTGTAGTGTCTTCTTTGCATCATTAATTCTTCTTTTGTATTGTATATCATTAATTAAACGTTGTTTTTATATTTCAATATACAAATATATTTTGGGAGTGATTGTATGTCCGTAAAAATTTTAACCCCTACATTATTAAATCTCATAAAAAATACATGTGAACCAAGATGTAATAAGGTAAAAATGATCTACCGAGTCAGATTCTCTTAACAAAAACTGTGAAAAGAGGGAACTACAGGCGCATTGTGCTTCAACACTGCTAGAAGTGGTGTATTATCAAATGTTGAATTTAAAAACTTCCAATGTTCTTTTAGGATTTTTTTTAAAAACCAGTCAATAATATACATTTATTGACTGAGTTCGAGGACAACATGCGTTTTTTTGGACCCAAAAACCAAACTGTCTGTCTAAGGCCGTTAGGCAGACAGTTTGGTTCTTGGGTCCGACAAAACGCAATAATGTTTTGTTATACCTGTCAATTGTTTTTGTACTGTCTTCCATGATGTAACATCAGATCCGCCACTGTTGAACACCAATTAACGGAACACCAATTAACGGATGAAAATGACAGGGCCCATTCTTTGAAGTAAGCGGTCCAACGATTTTATTATGCCCGCTCAGCAAAACATTGGAAATGTTAGACTTTTTCCGCATAAATTTGTATAGGAACAGATTTTTAAATTTTATATTAATATTTTTATTTATAAAATAATATGAAATTCTTTTTTACATTGTTTAATAAATTTAAAAAAATTGTAGGAAAAAAACAAACATGGAAAGAACTGGTGGAAAGAAAACTTACAACGTTGATGAAAGAAGTCTTTTCCATGGCACAGATTCAATTGACAGGTGTTATGGTATATGTACCAACAATTTTGATTTTCGTCTGAGTGGGAAAAATGCAACGGTTTATGGGAAAGGATCTTACTTTGCCATTTCTGCAAAGTATAGTCATAACTACACAAAAGGCAACACGCGCTTTATGTTTAGAGCTAAAGTTCTGATTGGAAGCTATACCAAAGGTAAAGAAGACTTGACGTGTCCACCAAATATCCCTGGAGAAGGACACAGACGTTTTGATTCCTGCGTCGACAATACCTCTGACCCTTCAATATTCATTGTTTTTGACAGAAATCAGACGTACCCCGAGTACTTGATTGCATATCAGGAAAATATTGAAGCACGGACTTTAGATTGGCAGTCAATACAAAAATCAAAACGAAGTTTTTCAAGAAGTAGGGGCATTGCATCTAGATCAATTAACGTTTCCACTAATATTAACAATGTTCAAAACAACCTCAATACATTAGTTAAAACTCCATCTAGTAGTCAGGGAACTGTAATTACTACTCCCTTCACAAAAAGTCGACGGAGACCACCACTACGCCGATCAAGACCTTTGTCTTTAAGCAATAATCAAAGTTCCTCACATACTGATTTGACATCAACTCAATATCCTGTTGGCATATCAAACTCCACTTCTATCAGCAATTCGACACAAAATAGCACGTCGACCAACTCAACTGCTCATGGAGATCATGTACATGCAGCTTCCATTGGAGTGATATCTTCCACGACAAACAATTATCAGGCTCCCACTGGAATAAGAGCTATTTCGAATACAAATAATCACCAGGCTTCAACGAGTCTAAAAGATTCTTCCACAGCAAGCAGTTACCAGACTTTAGCGGGAACGGGGTCTTCTATTTCCATCATTAACAAGGCTTCTATTCAAAACATTTCTTCCAGTGCAAATTACCAAGCCTCCAACAAACTGGGACCCTTTTCTCCTGCAAACAATTACCAATCAAACAGTCTGAAAGATTCTTCCATAGCAAACAGTTACCAGAATTTAACGGGAACGGGGGCTTCCATTACCATTAACAACGCCTCTACAAAAACTACTTCTTCCACTTCAAATTACCAAGCCTCCAACACAATGGGACCCATTTCCCCTGCAAACAATTACCAACCTTCCACAGGAATTGGAGTTTCTTCCATGCCAAAAAACCACCAAACTTTCACCAGAGCAGGAGCTTCTTCCATTGCAAACAACTATCAGGCTTCCAGAGGAATCGGATCGACTTCCGTTTTAAACAATTATCAATATACTGAGGTCACTTCTCCTCAGAACCGGAGTTTTAACAGCTTTCCAAAGTTTTCTTCCTCAATTAACCGAAAAAATAGGGATCCTTATTCTGTTACGAGAGGTCGAAGTGAACGTCTTTCGTCCTTTCCTGGAGTTAGATACCGGGGGTATTATTCTTTGTCAAACATAGTGATACCAAATGAGGATTATGGATGTTGTTGTCTAATTTTGTGATAAAATTTAAACGAAACTTTCAAATCGTTAATCAGTAATCATTTACATTTTTTTTTAAATCTTATCTTCAAATCGGTGTTTATGACCCATAAACACCGATTTGAAGATAAGATTAAAAAAAAAAATGTTTTTGATAATATCCTGACTTATTTGTAGCACTTCACATGAAAATAAAATTAGATAAAAAATTGTCTCGAAATTATTGAAACTAAGAATTTTGGGACGCGTTTGATTGGCATATTCTTGCTTTTTCACGAAGTCAACTTTATCTTTAATGCCCAAGAAAAAGAAAAATTTTCTTGTTTATTAATGAGAAATATTTCAAAAACTATAATCCAGAAAACTCAGAGTAGAAATGTGAGAAAGCAAAACCAACTCACCAGTATTGTCAGTCCGTGCTCAGTAATGTGTGATGATTTAAATTGAACACATCCATGAAACGAAAACTGTTTTTGTAAACAGGGCAATAGCTCTTATTATTAATTATTACATTTCACCGGGTGTGTTCCATTTTGGGTGATGATTTGAACAGATGTGAATCTAATTCATGATTATTTCATATTCACTATGGCATGTCATGACTTTCAATTTTTTGATAAAATTTTCAAACTTTCCCATGTTTTTCTATATGTCGCCTCATATGGACTCATCACCAAAACCTGAAGAACATGGTTTGATGAATAAACTTTAATCTACATTATCTGAGGATGCTTTCATGGAAACATGAGCAATCATAACGGTATTTTTTCAGGAATTTTTTTTATGTATTACAATGTAAAATTTGATCGCTGATAGTGGCTTTACCGTAACCGCAGAAGACATTATTGAACTTGAATTGGCACTTTGTCAGGAAGCTTTCATTTAAGTTTTGTCTTTTTTAGTGGTTCTTGAGATTTCTTGAAAATAAGTCACCCAATCTTTAGTATTAATTAATTATCTCCCCTTGGAAGAAGTCGTGAATCTACATTTCAATAAAATTTATCACGTTTACATGGCACGTTTGGTAGAAATTGGCTCAGAGGTTCTAGAGAAACATATGGAAATGTTTACGAGATAGGTGACAGTAGACAACATCGGCAGAAAACTGACAAATTCCGATCCAAAAAGCTCACTTGAGCTTTTGTCTCAGGTTTGCTTAAAAATTTACTAAGTCAATCTAGAGGAAAATCGATAGAAAGCTGTTTTTGATCTAGAAAGCTTACAACATCAATTTGCTCCGGTTACTAAAAATTGATAATGCCATATGTTGTCAGACATGCGATGCAATGTGCTGCATTTCAGAATAATGCCTAAAGATTTATCTATAGTAACAATCTTATACATGCAAAAGTGTCTGGGTCGATTCATTGAAATCAATATACAAGTCACTTGATTAAAAAACTGTTATGTAGACAGATATTCAGGGGAAAAGGAGGCGAGTCTACTATATTATTTCTTTACTTTATGACAATTTTATATCTTATAATTATATTTTGTTTAATGTTGCTTTTCTAAAAATTTATTCAATCTGACTGAAATCATTTAAACGATTTAGAAAAAATTGTTTGAACGATTTTTAAAATCGTTGGAACGATTTAGAAAATTGTTTAAGCAACGATTTTTTAAAACCGTTTGTACGGTTTTTTGAAATCATTTGTACGATTTAGAAAGTCGTTTGTACGATTTTTATTACTTGCTATTACACGTAGAAGAAGCGTAGTAGAAAACCTTGCACAAGTAGGACAGCGTATCCACGCATAGTTTTAATGAATGATACGATGAAAAATTGATCAAGGGATATTTTAAGATGTGTTTCATTTTTTTGGAAATTGCGCAGATCCTTTCAAAAACTCACTGAGTCTTTGTTAGTGAACGAATGTTGAACAGGACAACAGCTAAGTTGGGACTGTTCAGACGTAAGAACAAATCCGACATAGGGGATGTAGCTCTTTTCATTGGGGAAACACTTGAGTCATGTGATCAATTGTGTGGATAAAGCTGGTGGTACTGGAAAGCTATTATGGCAGAAATTACCGTTTCTAAAGAAGATATTCGATGTCTTCTTCCTATACAAGATCCGGAGGGAGTGTGTTTAAGAAAAAGAAACAGAATAAGACGAAGATTGTACACGATCAAAGGTCCAAAATACGTATGGTACGTGGATGGATTATACAGTTATACAAGCGATCATAAAAACAATGTGAATGTAATTGGATATGATGGTTTACTAATTATAAAATTACAACAATATTAAAATACAGTTTAATTCACAAGATACAATTTATTATAAGTGTTTCTGTACCTGTTATAGTCAGCAGCGAAGGGATTCTCTATACAATAACTTTACCAGGTTTCTTATCCACTACGCTTCTGTTCCGAATCAGAAGAGAAAAAAATCGTACAAACGATTTTCTAAATCGTTCAAACGATTTTTAAAAAATCGTACAAACGATTTAACAAATCGTACAAATGGTATAAATTCTGACAAGTGGTTAGAAACCGCATTTGTAAAAGCTTATTGACTTACCAAGTTACGTCTGTTAAGCCGATTTAACAAAACGTTCAAACCATTTTAAAAATCGTATAAACGATTTCTAAATCGTTCAAACGATTTAAAAAATTTTACAAACGATTTTTTAAAATTTTCTCTACATTGTCAATATGGCACGAATACGCCGTCGTTGTAAAGGGAGCAACGGGGATTTGATTTAGTCAGATAGAAGAATTACTTTTCCTTAAAAATATCTGCGCAGATTTAAATTCTGTAAAGAAATAACAATTTAGCTCTTTTATAACTATATATTAAGAAATTTCAAAGGGGGTGGGGGTGGGTGGGTATTGATTATTTCATTTTAGAAGCAAGTTCATTTTAGAATTAAATAAAGATTAAAGATAATATAGATTCAATCATGTGAATCCTGCTTCCATTTCAGAAGACAAGTCTTCTTTTTTGCGTAAAATGATATATATACCATAAATGATATACTGGACATACAAAGTACAACTAAAATGCATAATGAAATAAGCATAGTAATCCTTTTGGGGGGTTGTGACTTATTTTCATATTTTGCATTTACTTAAATGTTACGTATTTTCACATACGGTAAAGATTGATTACGACTATGTTGTTATAACTAGCAACAAATAATTCAAAACAAATAAGTCACAACAAATAAGTTTTAACAAATAAGTCATAACAAGTAAGTCAATGCCCTTCCAGGGCTTCCGTATATTAGCCCTAAATTATGTTCTAGTACATGTATGTTTACTTTCAAAAGAAGTTATCTCTTGCTTTGCCTTTATGTAATCACATGCAGGTATTTCACCTAACTTTTGTGTTATGGGCGTAAATTTTATATTTTCTCTTTCTGTCAGGTAAGATATCATGCACGTTATTTTGATGTGCTGTTAGCAGTTTTATTACCATTTTCGAAAAATAGACGTTATCTATTATAAACAGTTGAAAAACTGGTGCATTCCTTTAATCTTATGACTATGCAGTGATAAACTTATATACACACCTGTTCATCAATGTATATAGAGACAAAGTTTAGTTTCATTTCAACCTAGCAAATGAAAATGTGCAATTATTGCAAAATAAAATTGACTTGGAAGAATAATTATAATCAATATTCATATTTTTTTTTATAAACTGCATCTTTAAGATTTATTTGTTTACCATGATATCACTGAGTTGTTTGCAACACATCTTTCATATACTTTTAATTTTTGAAGAAAAAAAAATTAGAGAACAGAAACTGAATACCATAGTGTACAATCAAAGAGGATGATGGCTGAATGCTTTTTTCAACTCTAATTAACGCAGATATCTTCATATTTTTGATGCAGGTTAAACTAAAAGATACATGATGCACAGAAGTAAAAGCATGCCGTTTCTTCCAAACGTTTCAAGAAATAGAGGCAGGGGCCAGAGAAGGGGAAGAAGGAGAGGACCAGACTGGTCAAACCCCAGGGCCCAGTGTGCATGTGAGGAGAGTGACGATGAATCGTCCTCAAGCAGTGTTAGTGAGTATTCTCACCAGAGCCGTGTCGATGATTACTGTCACCAGACTAGACCCCTCAGAAGAAGCATGAGTCGAGATGAGGAGAGTTCTTCAGAATTACGCATTTTCGATTTTCTAGTAAAATCAGTTAGCGGAATTGTCAGTGTTTTAAGATTAAAGGAGGACTTTTACCAAATACCATCTAATTTTGATGAGTGGATCTTGGACCCCAAAGAAAGGCTACTTGTCTTCAAACAAGAGCACTCGACTCCACTTTACATTGGGCCTTTCCTTCAGGAGGTCACGCTTTGTCCAGATCACATGGCACAAAATGGCATGTGTGACCGAGTGAACTGTAACCATTTTCATATTTGCCAATTCTATCTAAATGGTTGGTGCAGACTTGGATATAGATGCAGAAAAGGACACGGGTTTAACGATGCACATAATGGGAGATTAAAAGAAAAGCTTGGATTATCCAAATATATCGATAAGGAATTGAAAGTAATACTTATAAATAGATACCCTCAAGTATGTAACATTAGAAACTGCAATGGTGGGGAAGAATGTCCATATCTTCATATTTGTTACAACTTTATCAAAAATAGATGCAAAAGCGACCTCTGTGGTGAAGGACATTCATTTGAGACGCCACACAACAAGTGGGTTCTGTCAGTATACAGAATGGAGAAATGGCCAAAGAAAAATCTACCTTTGCTGAATGCTTTGATCAACAAGCCACAAAGACCACAAAAGTCACATTTTCTCCAGCTTACCAGTATTTCCTCTGCCGGTTGCAAAATTGAACGTAATTCTTCTTTATATGTTTTTGAAATAACATATATAATATTTTCCATTTAAAAAATGAACTTAGCCTAATCAATTTATCTCTCATGGGCAAAGAAATCAAGTGAGCTTTTCTGATCAAAGTATAAATGTATTCTGGCTGTCTGTCCCGGGAGTTGACAAAAATATTAACGATTTCGAGTTTGGTTCAACGGTGCTTTTTGGGAACCACAGGCTAAATTCGACGAAAGTTGACACACACTATCGTTTTTATGGCATAGAATCGTGAAATAGGAAAAAGATGACTAAAATTGTTGAATTTCTGATTGACAATATTTTTGTAGTTTTAATTTTTGGTGGTCAAGTCTTTTAACAATCTGTCGGAATTCCATGGATGCTAAAGAGGCCCCTTATTAGCAGACATATTTTTGCATTCACGTGAAGCAGAATTCATGCAAAAACTTATATTTTTCAAATGAAATCTGGATCCCAATGTAGTGTTAATATTTGTTTGATTAAGTGGTTGCACCCAGCTAGAGGGCTGATACAATGCATTATACATGTGAACAAAGAATTGATCATATTGTGAAGTCAAACTTCCTGAAGAGAAGTATGACAAAAATGGGTTCATATTACTCATTCGAAAAAATCTTGAAATCTTTTTTAAAATCTAAGGCCAAAACTTTGGAGATGGGTGAAACTTCAGCGTGCCCAAAGCCCACTAGCTTCAGACGTATAAAAATCATATTCAAATTGTGAATTTAGTATCTAGAGTAAAGTTCTTATCATAGTTTTATTATGAAATCATGAGATACAAAAAGTTTTGAGGAATTTTTTTTAATTAAAATTTATTCTTCTATAAAAAAAAAAGTGATATCCATTAGGTTCGAACCCTGGCAATAAAAATTTAGT